AAAAATATCAATTGCTCATGGGTAGACTGGGCCAATATAATAAAAATGACAATTCTGCCCAAGCTAATTTACTTTTTAAGTGCCACACCAATCAAACTACCAAAAAATTATTTTATAAGGTAAAAAAAATAACAAAATTCATCTGGAGTAACAAAAGATCAATAATATAAAAATCATTGGGCGGGAATGCAAAGGAAAATGGCATAGTCATATACTATTATATGGATTTTATGTATTATAAAGTAGTAATCATCAAAAGTATTTGGTACTGGCTAAGAAATAGAGTGGTGGGTCAGTGGAACAGATTAGGTACACATGACAGAGAAGTAAATGAACATGGAAATCTAGTATTTGATAAATACAAAGACCCCAGCCTCTGGGATAAAAACTCACTATTTGACAAAAACATCTGGGAAAACTGGAAAACAATATGGTAGAAACTAGGTAGAGACCAACATCTTATATCACATGCCAAGATAAGGTCAAAATGGGTACATCTTTAGTCATAAGGGATGACAGCATAAGCAAATTAGGAAAGCAAGAAATAGTTTACCTGTCAGACCTATGGAGAAGAGAAGTGATGACCAAACAAGAAATTGAGAACATTATGAAATGCAAAAGAGGTAATTTTTATTATATTAATTTTAAAAGGTTTTGCACAAACAAAACAAATTCAACCAAGATTAGACAGAAAACAGAAAGCTAGGAAACAATCTTTATAGCAAATGCCTCTGATAAAGGCCTCATTTCTGAAATATATAGAAACTGAACCAAGTGTATAATAATACAAGCCATTTCCCAATTAATAAATGGTAAAAAAAATGAACAGCAGTTTTCAGATAAAGAAATCAAATCAAATCCTTAGTTATATGAAGTGCTCTAAATCACTTTGGATTAGAGAAAAGCAAATGAAAACAACTCTGAGATACCACCTCACACCTATCACATTGGCTAATATGACAAAGAAGGAAAATGAGAAATATTAAGGAGGATGTGGGAAAATTCAGGCACTAAAGCATTGTTGGTAGAATTGTGAAGTGATCCAACCATTCTGGAGAGCAATTTGGAACTATGCCCAAAAGGGCAATCAAAGTGTGCATACCCTTTGATCCAGTAAAACTACTACTAGTTTCATATACCAAAGAGATCATAAAAAGGGGAAAGACCTACCTGTGCAAAACAGTTGTAGCAGCTCTTTTTGTGGTGGCAAAAAATTAGAAATTGAGGGGATGCCAATCTATTGAGGAATGTCTGAACAGTTTGTGGTATATGAATATAATGGAATACCACTGTGAAATAAGAAATGAAAAGCAAGCAGATTCCAGAAAAGCTTGGAAATACTTCTGTGAACTGATGCAAAGTGAACTAAACAAAACAAGGAACATGTTGTACACAGTAACAGCATAATTGTGTGATGATTGCTCAGCAACACAATGATCCAACAATTATAAAGTTACAATGAAGGAAATTACTGTCCACATCCATATGTAAGAACTGATGAACTCTGAATGTATATCAAAACATTCTATTTTCACTTTATTTTTTTGTGGCCTTTTTTCTTTTTGGTCTGTTTCTTCTTTCATAACTGACCAACATGGAATTTTGTTTCACATGATTTCACATATATAACATATCAAATTGCTTACTGATTTAAGAATAGAGGGGAGATGGTAAGGGAGGGAGGGAGGAAAAAAGGGAGGAAGAAAATTTGGAACTCAAAATCTTGTAAAAATGAATGCTAAAAATTGTCATTACACACATTTAGGGAATAAATGAAAACCCTTAGCACTAGAATTGGAGTCTTATTTCAGAACCTGGTCCTATTAAGGAGAGAGGAAAAAAGAGCACCATTTGACACTCAAGAGTAGAAGCGTGGCCCACAAAAACCAGATAATGTCAGTAAGTACCTGCATTTTGACTAGCAGGAGCTCTCTTTTGTCTGTTTTGAGGAGGAATGAGATGGGGGAGAGAACAAGATCTATACATGTTATTTCATGAGTATATTAAAACATTAACTCTGGGAACACATAGCATTATACAAAAATCAGGAATGGATGTTTCAAAAGTTTCTCCCAACTTTGGTCTTTTTCTTATAGTCATTGTAAGACTTTCCTCTTTGACCAGAAAACTGAGGACCCTATTTGGAAGCCTCCCAGGAGCATCTTGGTGACCATCCTGTCACAGCAGTATACCCTCAGAGCCTAAGAGGCATTCCTGAGATGCCTTTGATATCTATCATTTCTAGGATATCAACTGTATAGCCCCCTCACTCTGTTGCACAGATTGGCATCAGACCTGCCCCCAGGGGAACCTTCCCTTATCTCCCACAGGCACACCTTATCAACAGGTGGTTAGTTTACAAGATAAGAAGAATCATTCCCTCTAACATCCCTGGACTACAGTGTTTCAGGCAATTTACTACTATGTTCTCTCATATAAGTCCCTGCGTTTCACACACTCTTTAAATCACAGAACTGGAAGGATCTTAGAGAACATCTAGTTCAATCCTTATTTGAATAATAACAATCCCTAAGGTATTCTCATCCACAGTCTCTTGGATGACCTGTTGCACTGAGGAGAAGAAATGCTCACTCCCTCTTGACCAAGCTGATTGTACTTTCAAACAGAATTGTTAGCAAAATTTCTTGTTTTGTTTCCTTTAATTAAGGCCAGAGTTTACCTAAGTTTGCCTCCTCAATTTCTAATTCTAGCTCTGCTCTCTTGGATCCAAATAGTTCAAGTCTACTCACCCTTCACCACAGATGTTGAAATATTTGGAATCAGTGATCCTGTCCTTTGGAGTCTTTCTCCTTTCCAAGTTAAATGTACCCAGTTCTGTAATTGATTTTCACAGGTCATGATCTCTAGTTCCTTACCCTTTCTGGTAGCACTTTAATGGGTATACACCAATTTGTCAATGTGACTTAAGCAAAATGTTTCCCACAAGGAGCCAAACTAACATGGACAAGTTTTGACTGTAGGGCAGATGATGACAAGACTGTCACCTCATAGAATTCTAGACTCCAAAATTTCAAAGAATTCTCAGAAACCATCTTGTCCCAAGTATGTCTGTAGAGGAAATCTGCTACAACATCCTGTAAAGTTTTTTCTTGCTTCTATTTGAAGGTCATTCCAAGGGTGGGGTACTCAATGTCTCTAGAGGAAGCCCATTCAATTTTTGGATGTCTTAAATTTGGAGGAATTTTTTCTTGATATCAACTCTAAATCTACCTCTCTGAAATGTTCATCATCAATAACACAAGTATTATCTCTCTTCCATATGACAATCTATCCCATTTTTATTATGTCCACCTTGATCACCATCTTTTGAATGGGCTCTAGCTTGTAAAATATGGTACCTAAAACAAACTACAACACTTGAGATATGGACTAAGCAGAAAACTGATGAGTGGGATTCCCACTTCATTCTGAACATTATGTATTTTCTAATACAACTTCAGACTTAATCATACAACCATGTGTTTAGAACCAGAAGGAATCTCAAAGGCTAGCTACTTAATGCCTCTCATTTTATGAATGACTCAGGCCCAGGAAAGCTATGAGTTTCCTAAGTTCACAAAGTACATATCAGAATATATTATTATTTCATCCTTAGAGAAGTCTTTCTCCCTTATGAGGTTTCCCCATTGATATTTTGCCACAGAATAGGATAGCTCCTTCAACTGAGTTTCTGCTACAAACATTGTGTCATGTTTGCTACTGCTCTCTCCTCTTCCCTTCTTGTTACCTTAGTGCAGGCACATACATAAAACAAGGATAAACTGATGTTAAGGATGCAGTTATCTTTGACTTTGTGATCTGACAGAGTCATTACTGTTCATCTCCCTGGTACAATCTTTGTCAAAGACCTCAGAAACTTTCTAGCACAGTCCAATATCCACTACATTCTTAGGAACATATATAAAAGTGAAATAATCAGATTGATTCTGTTTCTTCTTTTAATTGGTCCTATATATACAGTTAATTGATTTTGTCCTGTCAAGATTCTTTGTCTCTGAACTTTGTTCAGAAATTCAGCTGGCCTATAATGAGTTAAGTTTTGAATTTTGGTTCTCCTTTGAAACTCTATTCTCTTCTTGCCTCATACATATCTACTATCCTTGACAGATCCACAAGAACACCAGAAAGTCTGTTTTAGTATCCTTATACCACCAAGCTATCCTTCAAGGATGTCTGATTTATTATCCAAAGAAGTCTGGTCCACTATTCTTGCCCTTGCAGGTGGGCTCAAATAATGAACATTACTTAGTCAGAGGAAGTAAGGACAGTTGATGCTAGCCCCTCATTCCAATTTCCAACCAATCACATTGTCCCCCATACCTCAGCTTTGTAACCTGTCATAACTTGTTCCCCACTAAGACATCCTATTCTTAGTTCTGTACATCCTAAAAAAAAGTACAAATAGGGTAATCATTCCCCACCTTGGGGTCTTAACTTTGCTGGGGAAGCTGAGATTGTATTTATTGGTAAATTTGCACTTCACTAATAAATTTATCTTGCTCAGTCTGCATTAATTTTAACTGTTACAATACAAAGAACACCAAAAAATAGAAATAACCACTCAAGTGCTTTGACTGCTCAGGGCTTTTCTGCTTTGCCCCATATTTGTCTTTCTTCATTCTCTTAGTCTCCATGCTTCAAGGGCATAAAGATTACCACCACAGTATGGCAGGTCTTTCTGACATTGTCTTAGAAAACTACGCTTCCCTGTCTTTATTTCCTATTCCCAAGAAACCTAGGCTCTCCTAATGGGTTTTGGTATTAGACTCTGCCATATTTATCCTATATTTCAACAGCCTTCCCATCCTACTGCCTAGAGGCAGGGAGATTGTGTCTACATTCCCAAAGGTAATGAGGAATGAGGTACTGACTTGGTATACCTGTTGAACTGTAGTGTCAGAGGTAAAATGAGAAGAAATTCCCACAGTCTGGAGAAAGAAAACTCAAGAAGAAAGAAGCAGATATTTAATGTTATTTATTTGTGAAAATAAGCACAAAGTACACTGCTTTTTCTTACAATATTCAGACAAAAAAGAATTAATAACTATCAATTTCCTGGTACCAAGTGAGGAGAACATGACTGGTATAGGATATACCAAGCCTTAGAAGTCATGGCAGTGCACAGGCTTTAAAATCCCAAGGAGTCAGCACCGACCAAAGTGCTTAAATCGAAGAATAGATACATCAGGCCTAAAAGGGGGGGGGAAGATAGTTTATTTTCATGTGAAAATAATTCCTTTCTGCTTTCTTATAAAAACCAAAAGTTCCTTCATGTATACTTATATATAAGTAAATATAGATGGCATAGCTAGTTGAACTTTGAAGGAGATTCAGCATTCAGCTCTTAAGGTAGAGGTGAAGAGACATGCTCCTTCCATTCTTGCCATGGGGACAGCCAGTCCACAGGCACAGAGATGGGAAATGGCTTGTATATGAGATGCATAGGTCAAATAGGGATGTTGATTCCCTAAGGTTACACACAGGATTGTCTTTGACATATTTATAATCTATGTAAATATATGGTTACCTTAGAAGACAGAAGCTTCCCTCTCAAGAACTTTTCAAGGACTCATGATCTTTTTAAATGGTTTTATTTCCCCCTAACACCAAACTCCCATATCTCACCCATTATTCTATCTGAATTTATATGTACTTATCTTTTGTACATGCTGGACAATTATCCCACCAACAGAATTCATGATTTTGGGGGTGAAGAATGGTTTCATTTTTGCTTTGGTATACTTAGGCTGTAGCACATTCTCAGATACATAGTAGACATTTTAAATTGCTTGTTAGTGAAGAGGGCAGAATGAAGATGGTGGAGTAACAGGTAATCACTTGAAGGGTACCCAATTCCCCTCCAAACAATTTTAAAATAATGCCTCAAACTGAATTCTGGAGAAGCAGAACCAACAAAAGATGAAAGTGAAACAATTTTCTAGCCCAAGACAACTTAGGAGGTTTCCAGGAAAGGTCTGTCTCACTTGGGTGGTGATTATCCCAGAAAGGCAGTGCAGTCAGCACAGGCCCTGCCTTGGGGGTATCTGATGTAACTTACAGATGGTAGCAGATTAGGCAAGTGATCAGAAGGAGATTATAGGGGACCCTCTGCTGGCAGTGGGTGTAGTATGTTATTGAATTGTCTCTACATAATTCTGGGTCATGGTCCAAGGAGGAAAAAATACTCTGGTGGAGAGGACTGCTTGTGCTTGCTCACAGGAGAGCAGGGGCACTTGTCTAAGGTCCAGGGTTTAGAGGAGCCCTATCTCTTGCAACCACAGGAGTGAAGCCCAAGTTGCATTCATGAGCCAAAGGGACTGAAATTGCTCATGGCCACAGAGGAGCAGGTACACTCTTCTAGGTTCCAGGATCTAGAAGAATGCTTGTAGAAGGTACTCTGGCCAGAACAGAAGCTAGGAGAGCAGTGACCACACATCTGTTTAGATCAGGCCTTCACAACATATGGCACGTGGGCCTCTTGCAGCCCACCAAAGAGTCCCACAGGTGGTATGTTGTGTAGGCTTGTTTTACATCCTCTACATTATTCACAGGCTGCCTGAAATCTTTTGACTGGCTACAGGTTGTGCAGGCCTGGTTTAGATCATACCACCCTGGAAAAACTAAAAACTTTCGGACACCCAGAATACACTCTGAAAATAATTAACAACTTCAGCAAAGATGCAGGATATAAAATAAAAGCACAAAAATTGTCATCATGGCTATATATGTCCAAAAACAGTCCATAGGAAGAGAAAGAGAAATTCCATTTAAAATACATGTAGAAATTTTAAAATAGTTGGGAATGTACCTGCCAATATAAACCCTGGAACTATATGAACACAATTACAAAATACTTTTCCCACAAATAAAGTCAGATTACAGAATTGGGGAAATATTAATTGCTCATGGATAGGCTGAGCCAATATAATAAAAATTGCAATTCTACACAAATAAATTTACTTCTGAAGTGCAATATCTAAAAAAATTAATTAAAAATTATTTTATAGAGCTAGAAAAGTAATAACAAAATTCAAGACTATCAATGAAATGAATGGGGAAAAAAATAAAAGAAGGTGGACTAGCAGTACCAGATCTCAAACTATACTACAAAGTGATAATAATCAAAATAATCTGTGTAGCTAGCTAAGAAATAAGATAGGTGGATTAGTAGATTAGATTAGGTACACAATACATAACAGTAAATGACAATAAGGATTCAGTGTTTTGATTGTTTTGGACAGGACTCATCATTTGACAAAAACTACTGGGAAAACTAGAAAGCACTTTGGCAGAAACTAAGTAGAGACCAACATCTCCTACCATATACCAAGATAAGGTCAAAATGAGTACATGGTTTAAAAATAAAGGATAATATCATAAACAAATTAGGAGAGCATGGAATACTTTACCTGTAAAATCTATGGATAAGGGAAGAGTTTATGACCAGACAAATGATGCAGAGCATTATGGGATATAAAATGTATAATTTTGATTACATTAAATTAAAAACTTCTGCACAAAAAAAAAATGCAGCCAGGATTAAAAGGAAAATAGGAAACTGAGAATTTTTTTTCCAAATTTCTCAAATATATAGAGAAGTGATGCCAATTTATAAGATTACAAGTCATTCCCCAATTGATAAATGGTCAAAGGATATCAATAGGCAGTTTTCAGAAGAAATCAAAGCTATCAATTGTCATGTGAAAAATACTTTAAATTACTATTAATGAGAGAAATGCAACTTAAAATAACTCTGAGTTACCACCTCTCACCTATCAGATTGGCTAGTATGAAAGAAAAGGAAAAGAACAAATGTTGGAGGGAATATGAAACATTGGGACACAATTGCAATATCAATGGAGTTGTGAACTGGTCAACCATTCTGGAGTGCAATTTGAAACTATATGCAAAGGACTATAAAACTATCCATATTCCTTAACCCATCAAGACACTTACTAGGTTTTATCCAAAAGAGATCAAAGAAAAAGGAAAAGGATCTTTATGTACAAAAATATTTATAGTAGCTCTTTTTGTGGTGGCAAAGAATGGAAAACTGAAGAGATGCCCATCAATTGCGGAATGGCTGAACAAGTTGTGTTGTATGTAATTGTAATGGAACACTATTGGACTATAAGAAATGATGAGCAGGATTTAAGAAAAAACTGGGAAAACTTATATGAACAGATGCAAAGTGAAGTGAACAGAGCCAGGAAATCATTTCACACAGTAAAAGCAATATCATATGATGGTCAACTGTGCATGACTTAGCAATTCTCAGCAAAACAATGATCTAAGACAATTCCAAATAACTTATGAAGAAAACTGTTATCCATCTTCAGAGAAAGAATGAGTGGAATCTGAATGCATATTGAATCATACTTTTAATTTTTCTTTATTTTTCTTCTTTTTTTGTCTCTGATTTCTTTTGAAACTTGGCTAATATGGAAATATCTTTTGCATAACTGCACATGATGTACAATTTATAGCAAGTGCTTGCTTTCTCAAGCAGGTGTTAAAGAGGGACAGAAGGAGGAAATTTGGAACTCAAAAAATATAGAAAATTAATGTTAAAAATTGTTTTTACAAGTTATTGAGAAAAATGAAATGGAATTTATGAGGATTAAACTGAATGGAAATTAAGTAACAACATACCTAGTCATTGGTTCCTGGGAATGCTTTTGCTATATTCAGGAAGAATCAGAATATTGCTTTATATACTTACCTCATTGCACTGCAAAATATGCATTCATTTTTATATGTTATACCATTCTGGGCACAGATAGGATTGTACTCTTGGGTGCAGTGGTATGATGGTTGGCTTAAATACTTGATACATTCAGGCTGCCAGAATCATAAAGACATGTGGTTTCGATCAGATATCATTTATACAAAGAACTCTGTGGCTTGAGGATGCATCATGTTCGAGCCAGAATAACAATATAGTAAGATATCGAAGCACTTTGGTGCTTCTAGAGAAAGAAATGCAGAAGTATGAGAGGGAAAACTTATGATACTTCTGGGTTCATATCCAGGCCTGTGTTTTCAAAAAGGAAAAAATAAATAAATCAGAAATATTTTGTCTTTGAAGGTTATATCTGGAAGCCTAAGGCTATCTTTCAACATAGTAAGCAAGTCATTTTGGGCTTCTAAATGCCGCCACCTGAAAGCCTTCTCAATTCTCTCTAGCCAGGACTCATCTCACCTTTTTCTGAATTCCTATAGTAATCTAGGTCTCCTCAAGTGAACTTTGTGCTTGGAAATACATTGTATCATTTGGTTTAATAATTTAACTGACACACACAGATGTCTTGTCTCTCTAATCAGATTTCAGGATAGTTTGAACTAGAGTTGGAATTGAAAAGACTTGTGAGAATTTCTTTATCTTAGATGAGGAAAGTGAGGTCCAGAGACATCTGCCATTTAAACTCAGCTCCTCTGACTCTAAATCTACCCTTCCTTTGTGTATGACAATGTTGCCTATGTTTTCTATCTACCCCCACATAAACTAAACCACATCTGGATCGCCCAACGCACTCACTCACAACAGTAAATTGAACTAAACTGAATAGACCTGATCTGAGCTGCATATTATTTAATGAATGAGTGATTACTATTCCCACTGATTAAATAGGATGGGAAGTCATTCCAATACATTCATTGAAAAAATTACAGACAATACATGACCACCTTAAAGTCCACTTTTAATCGTCATCATAAAATGGGGACTGTAAGCCAGGGGAAAATGAGGCAGATGAGAAGAAACTGAATTGTCTACACATTACCAATGTCTGCATGAACAGTAAAAAACCTTCTAGGCTATTTCTGCTTGAACTATAGGCTTAACCATTGAATAGAATTCATCCCTGAGACTATTTTCCACATGCTTATTTTAATTTTCCACTACACCCTAGCCTCTTAATTGACATACAATCTTTCATTTTTATTTCATACAAAACTCATCCTCAGTTATCCCCATATTTCCATTTTAAACTACATTGTTTTATTGATACTTCAAAAAAAACAGCCTATTATCTATTCTCAAAGATGCCATCTTTACCCTAGTAGAAACTTCTCTTGCAATAACATGGACATCTAAGTAAATTAGGCCAACACATTGTCCTGATATGAAAATATATGCCTCACTCTGCTCCTTTTGGGCTGCTTCTCTGTTGAAAGAAAGTAATTAGCCAAAAAAAGTAATTTTTTTTTCTCTTGGGTCTGCTTTTTTTGCTCTATCTTTTGTTTATTCAAAATATTTTAAGCTTTCCTGTATTCTTCACAGGAACATACTACTACATACATGACGTTGTATTTGATGCATTATATAAAGTGATGGCAATACCACATTGGAAGGGTTTTGGTTGTTTTTTTCTATTTTATTAATTTTGGGTATAAGATACAAGTCTTTGAGGAGGAAGGGCATATTAAAACTATTCAGGTTTTGAAAAATCAGTATCTTTTTCCAAAATTAAATGTTATTGTAATTAAAGAACTCAGTTCACAGCACTGAACCCCAATTATAGAGTGAGAAAAACTTACCAGGTCTATTTGACTTTCCTTTCTGGAAAGACCTGCAAGAAAAAAAGAGATGCAACAAATTATATTATATGCTTTTGGATAAAGTCACTTCATCTTTAGGTGGAATGAACCTAATTGTATGATCTTTCAATACTCAGGATCCTACAAAAGATTCAGGGGGCCTGGAATTAATTGGATCCATGTGATATGATTGTCTAAAAACTACCACAACCAGCAAGAAATAAATGATAAGACAAAGTGGGGCCTATGATCAACTCAAAATATCTGGGACATAGTAGAACTCTGGATACATTGTGCTTTAGGATGAGTTTTGTCAAAAAAAACAGTTCTCATCCAGGAGGATGTTTTTGTACTAACCATTTCTCTTGATTCAATGCCAATGAAAACCTAGAGTATTCATAACTACTAATTAATATACTATTTTGGGAGTTATTATTTTCATTGACTCAGAGATCATTAGAGAGGGAAGGGACCCTACAGGTTGTCTCATTCTGCCTTCCAATTTTATGCAAGAGGTAACTGAGGCCTAGTGTTGGACTTTGCCCAAAGTTATAGCAAGTGAGTAGCAAAGCAAAGTCAAAATCACTGACTCCCAAACATGCATGCTCTTTCTGCAATGCACTATTGCCATCACTTTATGTAATACATCACATTACATTAAATTCACCAATTCAGCAAATCACAATTAAAAAAAGAGTTTCTCAATTTGATCTAGACATTTAAAACTCCCCCAAAAGAAAAGAACAACCTATTCTAAGCAGCAGGTAACACTAGTACTTCAGAGAAGTTTCTGAAAAATTAGTGGATTTCCACCAATGACTTAGAAATTTACTGACCTGAGGAAACAGTTAGTATCAAGAAGAAAAGCCCAAAGAGGGCCTTCTTTATCAGTGGGAAGCAGATCATTCAGTCTCTGAGGAATCCCTGGACTGGGTTTTCTGTTAGGAAAAAATACATATAGACCAATAAAAGCCTAAGGACATTTTCTCATTAACAAAATGGGACATTTGTCCAGGCCTCCCATACATGAAGGTCTGTAAAAATTAAATTCTTTATTCTATCACTTCCCACAGCCAAAATGTTAGGACTAGAAAGCCCATTCTCCCTACTCCATCCCAGACCAAGACCTTCAGGCCAGCACAAATCATAACTTGTCCTCCTCTATGCCTCAAAGACAGAGTTGTGAAGGTGGGAAACTTTCCCCATACAGCTCTACTGAAGAGGGAGACAAAGTGAAGCTGTATATGTATTTCCATACCCCTGATCAGCCTTGACATTTCTCCCCATGAAATACAACATTGACAATTTTTCAGACAAGTCCGGAAGATACATAAACAGGAAAGAACAGAGCAGAATTAAAGGGAAGGGACATGGTCTCAATTGCAGTCTCTGAGTGACCTACCTCAAAGGGAAGAAGAGATGGACAAGAAGTTGAAACTGTCTGTCTCTCTTTTCCATGTGTGACACCTAAATACTCTTAGCCAGTCGCTCATCTCCAGGGATGAGTGAGGAGGGAGATCAGCTGTTCTCAAGGGGTGGGGAGTGGGAGGGTAGAAAGCACTGAGGCAACAAGTGCTCTGCCCACAGGCTAGAGATTATCTCCTTATCTGAGGCTTTGGCTTTATCAACATTTATGCCTCAGCAGGAGGTTGAAGTGTTATACCCAGAAATTAGCTAATTTTAAATTGTGGACTTTATTAGCACGCAGCTGCCAGGGATATTCACATCCAAATCAAGCAGCAGCCATCAAGGGTTGAGCTAGGGTTTATATAGGGAGTATACAGGACAGGGAGGGGGATGGATCTTTGAAGTCTGGCAAGAGGAAGAGGTTTTTTTGGGAGCTGGTCAAGGACACCCTTCTCCCTCTGTGTAGATATGATAATGCTGTGCAAACTTTCTCACAATGGAGGCTTCCAGAGATATGATCTGAGGGCTGTGGCCTGAGCAGCCAGATAAGGGTCTTGCTAAGGAATTTGGAGTTTTCCATGGCCTAAAGGGTTCTACTACCTAAATGGTAAAATAATGTTCTGCATTACATTCCCCACTTCTTTTGTGTACCATGTCACACCCTTGACGTGGTGGGGGCTGCCTCATTATAGGGTGCAAAGAAGGCAGACACCAGGGTCTGATAACGGGGACCTCTAACCAACAGTAACTTAACTAAATTAATACAGGATCTAACAAAGTCAAAGAGCCGATTAACTAGACAGGGGTCAAGAATTAGGGCTATAGTAAGGACGAGCAAAGGCCCGGCTAAGGCAGAAATAAGAATGTTAACCATGGGGAAGTGAAACAGGCTCTGGTACCAATTTTCGTTCCCTTCTCATTCCCTCTGCCTGTCTGCAATATTTTTCCATACTAGGGAAAGGTGCTCCTGAACTACATCTGAGTTATTGGCATAGAAACAGCAGGCCTCCCCTAGGGCGGCACAAAGGCCGCCCTGCCTGAGAAACAATAAGCCTAAACCCCTCTGGTTCTGCAGAACCATCTCTGCCAAGGAGTTGACCTGTCTCTCCAGTTGGGATACAGAGTGCTCCAGATGACTGACTGAGGTCTGATCGACCTGAGCACTAAGTTCCTGGTAACTGGCCTCTCCTCGGACTAGGGCAGCGGTACCCACAGCAGTTGATCCCACTAACCCCAACCCCACTGAGGATAGGGATGAGGAGGGGAACGGCTCGCTTGCTTCAGTAGGACACACTGCCCTCATGACTGAAGTACTCCCAACCCTCCGGGCCCTGAAGAAGGGAGACCCTGGGGATAATGGAGACTAATATACATAGAGGCTCAGATTCTTTTAGGAACACTGCAGCGGAGACACACTGTGTGATCCCATCCAGACAGGCCCACCAAGTGCCGGATGGTGCTGAATAAAAAGAGGAGGAGGATTGGGGAACAACCACAGTACTATTACAGACAGGAGAGTAAGGAGAAGTTTTCAGGGATGTGGTGGATGAGGTAAGACAGGTACCTTTTCCTTGGACATCCCCAGGGTCAACTTAGGTTGTTCCCACCGACAATTTCCGAGTCTGGGCTATGGGAAACAGAACCATTAACTGCCACTCCCACATAGTATGGGGGTTGTGCATCCATACACAGCCAGCAGCTAGGTCCTAGGTCAGGCCGGTGGAGTTGACAACTATGGATGGCTCGGAGCAGTCTCATAATCAGGGGTGAGGAGGATCTGCCTGAGGGTCCTACTAGGAGCCAGAGGAAAAGGAGGAATGGGCAAGTAGGTGGGGGCATGTGAAACAGGGAGGGGTAGGGGAGAATAGGGAAATGCAGGGGGGTCAAGGGAGATTGAATAGACAATGGGAATAGATAATGGAGGGAACAGGAAGGCAGAAGTTTGAAAGGCATCTGCACAAAATCAAGGTGGGGCTAGGACTTTCAAAAGGAGATAAAGGAAGGCCTTTCTGGGGCCTATAGACAAGAGGGAGCCAGATCTGAATAAGATTAAAAGGTAAGGCTAAGGCTTTCAAAGGGAGATGAGGGTCTGGGGCCTGTGAGTCAGATTCCCTTTGAGGCAAAGAGCGAAGATCTTGTTTTGGGCCCCGCCCCCATCATCCCCCCTCAAACAAATAGGAACCAAATTCTTTTGGTGAAAAGGGGGAGGTCTCTGCTTCTGAAACTGCTTCCTGCTGGCAAGGGGCGTAGAGCTGTCCCTGCCTCTCTGGGTCCCGTTCGAGGGGTCAAACTTCAAATGCCAGGTTCAGTGGACTAGAGACCTTGGGTTGGTATACAGTCATCTGGAAGTTGATGGCTCCGACCCTAGAAGAAAGGAATCTGGCAAGAATATTTAGTAAACATGGACCAAACAAACACAAGAGAAGTATGATCAGTAGTGGCCTCTGTGTTTTCTTTCTGGAGTCCCTGCAGGAACTTGGTTAAGGAAGAATTAGTGCCATCTGCCCTGAGTTCCTACTCCCCCCTTTTAGTTTTTGGCAAAGGAATCATCCAAGGAAGAGGACTGCCGTAAGAGCCGGACCCATACTGCCAACCCCCACTAAATAGTAAACAAGAGCAAACAACAATATGCATACCTTACATTAATCCACAGGCCCCAATACATACATAGATATATGAAAGAATCCATTTTAACACAGTGCATATAGGATCTTAAATGTTTCAGTCATGCCATGTTTCTCTGATGACATGGACAAGATAAACCACAAGCCATTTCCCTTTTAACATTATTAATTGTAACACAACTTTAAACAAGTATGATATTACCCAAATAACAAAATAACATTCTCACAAACCCCTGACCTAATTGTAAAGAACCTTAACTCATATAGGAACACACACAGAACACAAGTCCCAGTTCTATAGTACCCTAAGATGTCACATTGCCTAAGGAACATTTCCAAAATGAGCCCTAAAAGCTTGCATGCATTTCTACTCTTGTTCATAAAACCTCACTAAATTGGTACAAAAGTTCTTAAATAACACAAATTCCAGAGTAGTATTAAGGAAACTGAATTCCTAAGTATTCCAGAATCCCTCATAAGTCTTTAGTTAAAGGCACATAGAGATAGTTCAGTTTTCCCAGTCACACAGGACTAGGTTCAAACAATACAACAAAGTTTACTCATAATTCGCAAAATTGCATAATTACATTAAGTCAGGTACAGATTAAACCAATCAGAGAGCTCACAATAGACTAGTTTGGAAAAGAGAGATTTACATGTAATCAGGGTAACAAAGAAAACCTTAGACAGGAATCATACAAATCAATACAATCAGTATTACCTATATTAACTAACATTAAGTTCCTTGCTCATGTACAATCGGTTTAATTCATAGGCAGTTCAAAAAGGGAGCTCTGCTTCTCTGGCTTAGTGTAAAAATCCAAAACTGTGATCTTCCTACCTAAACATGCTTAAAGCTTGGATTGCTATGATAGATACATCTTGGAAGCCAATCATATCAGTCTAATCCTATTGCTTTTCTCAAAATTTGCTATCCTATTTAATTAGACATCTATCACATTACCTTTGTCCTATTATTGTGTGTAAACATTTCCTCCTTAGGGGGATGTTATCCCTATATTATTATTATGTGGCCATGAATGTACTTGCATCCTATTACGGTAACACAGGGATGTTCCAGAGGGACAGGGTCATATATCATATCAGAAGGAAAGAACTTCCTTAGCTCCATTTGATTCCAGGCATGAGTCATATCTGATAGGTAATCACGTAGTCACTGGATGTTAAAAGCAGGGCCTGGGATTAATCAGGTGGGGATTTCCCTTGTCAAAAGGAAATAGCACAATTGGGAAATAGAGTCAGAAGATCCTATCTAGGCTGTGTCCAAGGTTGTCCTCAAAAGTCTTCCCAGGCACAGACTTCCACCTTTATCAGTTATCAGCCTGCAGCACATGCCATTCTACTATTGGCTTTATGACAACTCAGACAAGTACCCTGGTAATCAAAGCTCAAAACAATAGTAAATGTCTGTCCCATAAAATCACAAATCCGATAATAAGAATTTAATCTCACATTGGTAATAGTAAGAGACTGATCACAGAAAAATACTACTGCTCTCATAATTCCTTTAAACAATGGGAACATCTTGAGGTGAGTATAATCAATTGAACCCCAATAAGGGCCAAAAACCTGAACTAATTCTTTTTTTTTTCAAGTGAACCAAAAACACCCCTTTCCAGGACCAGATAGAACTGACCAACATTCTTTCTGTGTGTTATCACTGAGCCCAAGATGTCTGGGACCAAACACTCTCCAGAACAATGGGACTTTTCTTATCTCGGTATCTTATGGACATAGACTATGCTATGTCATGTTAATGGTAAAAGAAACACAGATATCTTGGTCCATAATTTCAACTGACACTTTGACACCCTCCCGCTCTATTGAATTTACAACCCATTCAATTAAGAAAATTCCCTTCCCATGCCACATGTCAAACAAACATATGGAAGCTGCACTTTTTTTTTTCAGGGCAGATGACCTTGCCCCCCCCCATAGTTTCCAGGGATCCTGGCAAGTTTACAAAATAAGGGGAATTGCCATGTGCCCCTCCTTTTCACACACAAGTAATCAATTAACAATCTTAGGTTTTGATATTAAAACAATAACCCCAAAACTTAGTTAACAATCTCACAAATTTTATAAATTATAACAAAACAATTTCAACTGAAAATTCCCTTTCAATAGAGACAAAATTTGAAAATTTTATACTTCCTTGAATTACAATATTTAAAAGGAAATGTTACAAAACAGGATCATATAAAATGCCCCAACAGCCAAATTGACTCCTTTTTTTTTTGAAGACACAATTAATTTAACATTCTAGATTATAAAAGAAATTGCCCTTCCAGCAACATAACTAATACAATTGACCCAAAAATCTTTCTTCTTTCTAGACCCTTTCACCAGGTCCAACAGTCTCCTGGGGCCACTCCCATCCCTATAGACTGGCTTCTTTACCTTGACCCATCCCCTTTTACTCCCCATGGCTGTGTGCTGGAAGATACTTCCAGGCTGTAGCTGCTGCCCCTCCCCTTCCTTCCTATAGCCAGGTGGGGGAAGGTGAATTTGCGGGCAGGGGGGGTAAAACACTCTCTTCCTAATCTGATCTGGGCTGAAAGGGGTTAATAGAGAAACCCAGCACTGTTTGGGATCCCCACACAGAGATACCCTCTTGACTCAAGGGGAGGAAGTGGGGGAAAGGAGTGACAAGATTGTAAGGAGGTGTTTAAAAACTCCTTAATGA